GGAGCCGGCCGGGCTCCTGCGGCTCCCGTTCCCTTCCCGCCGCGGCCTCCCGTTGTAGCTGTCACCGCGCCGGGCCTCGGCCCTCGCCGCAGGATCGCGTCAGCCGCGCAGGGCTCTGCTGAGCAGCTCAAGGGAGCCGGGCTCGGGCTGCGGCGGAAGATGAAGCCTTGTAGTTCAGCCAAAAGCCTCCCTGGAAATCCAGCTGCTTTTCTGGGTCTGCATTTGTGCGCTAGCGTGTGACCACAAGCAGTTATTGAAACGATAACCTCTTTATCCGCCACCACTAACATATCCCGGTAGTCTGTTTATTGGGAATGCAGCTGACAAGGGTCCGTGCTGTCAAATGCCCTTTGTGATCATTTTTTCCCCGTTTCTGAACGTGCTTAGGAGCTATCGGCAGCGTTCTGGTTTACACACACCAATGTGGATTTCATGTCGCCAGGATTATTTACCCTTGTAGCAAAATAAAGCAATAAAACTCCATTTGACAGTTTGCCGGGAAGTAACTTTCAAAACGTATTTGTTGCTTTGTAGTAAATCAGTTCTCTTTGTACTCGCATCTGTCATGGGTAAGATGATCTTTACATATTAAGTGCTTTGCCAGGAAAAAAAAGAGCAGGTTTGAGAAAAGTAATATGGACCTGATAATAAAACAGCAGCATGATAAAGGTATGACAGTGGTATTTGGTGAAGTATATTCTCCTACACGTCCTTTTACACATTATATAGATATTTTTCTTTTTTTTCCTATTTCAAGCATGAGACCTGCAGCCTTTAATTGGAAAAGTAATATGGACCTGATAATAAAATAGCAGCATGATAAGGGTATGACAGTGGTATTTGGTGAGGTATATTCTCCTACATGTTCTTTTACACATTATATAGATTTTTTCTTTTTTTCCTACTTCAAGTATGAGACCTGCAGCCTTTAATTGTTTCTTTATCCATGGTAGAATGTGGATATTGTTTTGTTGACATGGATTTCTTAAGTGTCGAGTTGTTGGTATTGGCGTGTTCTTGCAGGAATGTTCGTGTATTGGCCTGTTTTAGTGGCTGTGGAAACATTTGGGGAGAAGCAAATAACTACAGGAACTACTTGTTTTCAAAATAAGGTGTTTGAAATTGTCTATTCTTAAATTTTTCTGCTGAATCCTAAAGTGACAGGGGATATGCCTCTCAGTAGTCTTAAAATGACAGTTCTGAGACTTTTATGGAGCTACCTCATCAAAGGGTGTTTGATTTGCTGAGAAAGCTAATACAGACACTGCCACCACTGCAGAAAATTCAGTTCTGAAAGGACATAGCCCCGTTATACCCCAACGCCTCAGCTGAGTTTATCCTGCATGTTCTGGGTTGCTTTTGGTAACAAGGTAGGTAACACAAATCAGAGGATTTCCTTGTTAGTCTCAAAACCAGAGTGAAAAATACCTGTTCTTCTTTCCTTACCTAGAAATGAGGGAAGTGAAGAGTTGCAAGTGGATGATTAGGTCTAAGGTCTTTAAATGCCGTTTCCCTTATTTTTACAGTAGTCTTAAATATGATTGCAGCACTCGTGGTGCTTAGAGCTTTGTAAGGAGCGTGGCTGCAATCAAATTTGTGATGCAGTCAAGTACTGTGGGGTTGGAAGTAAATCAGCAGCAAATAGAGACGTGCAACCGTTGGCCTAAAAAAGGATGCGTTCTGGGGCAAACCTCACAGGGGCTGGCAGAGTAACGAAGATATGTGAAAATGTGCGTTTGTAGCTGGTTTGCTGCTTTGTGGTGGTCGGTTGTGTTTATTCTCCACGCCACAACAGAGCTGCAGCAAACAAGCAGCAGTTATGTGCTGGGGAAATCGGGTGCTGCCTCAGTGACACGAGGACACACACGCCTGGGCAGTGGCTATGAGGCTATAGAAGTTAATGGTATATAGATTCATGCTAAGCTTATTTGGTCATAGAGAGTTTACCGAGTTTTTATGTCCATCCCTTCAGCATAACAAATTACATAGTTTGGAAAAGGTTGTATGCTGTTAAATGCCTACATGCAAGCATATAGGTATAGTATATAGGTATAACATATATAACTTCCATTTGCAGGATTTGTGCTGTATTTCCTGGCCAACCAGAGGAGTAGAAGCATGAAAAGAAAATTACCTTCAATGTGGGGCCCTATATTAGCTAAAAATGTTCCTCAAAACTACACAAATAAACAGCACCTACTTTTTTTCTGTGTTTATTCTGGCTGTTTCAAAGCACAGATATTTGCTGCTTCGTTTTCTTCTCCCTTAATCACCTGATTACCCGGCGAGGAGCCAGGGCCCCCTTGCTGATGTTGGGGGGATCCTGCTGGGTCCTCCTTCTCCTTTTTCCACGAGTTATTTTACATGAGTGTTGTGATAAAAAGCTCTGAAATGTTTTCAGGAGTCAAAATACCAAGTTTATGTTTTAAACCCTTTGGTAAAAGCCTCCAAAAGTCTAAAAACACCCCATTTACCCTGCAGTAGTGGTAGATGTGTGGGCTGGGTTTTCAGTGTGGGTATTCCTGATTTTCAAGCCAACCCGTATGGTCATAACCCAGTCCTGGCTTGAACACCTTTATATTGTGACCCAAGCTGAGAGGTGACCATAACAGACCTGTCTGTCTAATTTCTCCCTCATGTGTCTGAAAATATTATTCAAAAAAGGTTTTTTTATTTCTGTGTCTTCTGTAAGCAGTACCTAGGCCTAAACTACAGTACCATTTTGGTTTTTAACGTGGCGTTCTGTTGTTCTGATCTTCTGTTCCTCACATTGCTGTGCACAACTATAATTTGGCACGTTCGCTGCTGCTTGGCAGGGTGGTTTGCAAATCCCAGGACGGAGTGAAAAGTAGTTCTTGTGTTAGGAAAGCAAATGTTTTCCTGCAAATGTGGAGCCTCCTTGAGAAGCCCGTGCTGAGGAACTGCCTTTGCAGTTCCACACATGTTGTTGTAATTAAGGCACAGCCTTTCCTGGATCCTGAAATAATGTAATAAATAATTCTGTTCAGGCACAGTGTTTGCATTGAGTTATTTCCTACTGTGGAACACTGGAGTTCCTTAGGACTGAAGCAGAGCTGGATTTGGGGCATTGGGCCGTACCCGGTTGTGATATGGAAATGAAACAGGTCTTGGTGTTCCTGTGCTGACTGACTAGCTTTGCTGCTTGGAAACTGCTGGAGAAACTCCTTGTAGGAGTGGTGTGTTTCCTTCTGCGCTTCAGTTACTTTTGAATTTACTACAGTGCCTCGCGCTGCTAATATTACATTATCATTAAAACTGTACAGAACAGATATAATGTGGATCTTTAACTTCCTTTTTCTGACAATATTGCTTTGATTAAATTTTTTTCTGTGTTATTTCCTTCTTGATAGCGACTTCTGCATTGACTCTTGATAGCATGGACCTGTCTCCTGCATGCCTAGGCTTTCCTGCTGTTTTTTGGTATGGTGGGTTTTTTTGAACATGCAGATGTTTAGCTGCATTCTGACTTGGACTCGGCTCCTGGCAGGGGTTTGTAGCTTCTGGTTTTCCTCTAGGCAGTGGCAGGTTAAGGTGGGACGTGGCAGGGGCTCATCCGTGGCGTGGTGGTATCTGAGGGGAGGTGCTGGTTGTGTTGGATCCTTCGGAAGGGGGATCGTCACCCGCTGCCGCAGTGACTCGCAGCAACCCATTCCCTTCTCGCAGGGGAAGAGCTTGGAGGTCACTTCCTGTCACTGGAATTGCTGGTTATACAGCCACGCATCCTTGTGATCATCTGTGTAATGCAATTTTGTTGATTCTTTGATGACTGAAGAAGGAAAAATAAAGATACAGATAGGTGATGCTCTCATCATTAAAACTGAGAGCTGCATAAACTGTGTAGGATACTAGTGATTCATATTGAATCTACGTGACTCATCCCATATTAAGAATTCCTATCTGTATCCTTTTCAATGTTGGGTGTTTCCATAGCTTTTTCTATATTGTGTTATGAAACCACTATTACTAACTTCCAAAATACAGAGCTATATGTGCTGTATATGATCCAGACATTCCCATAAGATTCCTGTTTTAATTTTGCTATAAAATAGCCTACTTTGAAACTCTGTTTTACCGTTTTGTCTCTAGTTATAGTCTCTGTAGTTATAGTTATCTTGTCTCTATAGCATCTAGTATAGGATGCTATAGGATGTAAGTACAATGTGATGGGTTCAGAGGGAGAGCTGTCCCACCTCAAATATGTGGCCTGGCCGAGTCCTCTGTACAAAAGCTCATGCTGATAAATATATTCCATAGAGTGTTGCTCTGATTTCCTTTGTGCTGTTTAATCAAGATGAGAGCAGGGCAGGAGCTGCTGATAATGTCTTTCAGTACTGCAAAATAAAAGAACAAGCCTGTCTTGGGCTCTGTAATCTTCATCCATCAAATACCAGGGTATGTCTCTTCTGCTCTCCTGGATGAGGTTCAAGTCCTCATTCTTTCCATTGTGTGAACTAATACTCTTTTGATTATACTTCTTTAGGGAGTATTTGGGGAGTGGCTTTTCAGGCATTCCTTTGGTATCAGTAACAAAACTTGCTGTTAAGTTGGAGTTTTAGGAGCAGCTGTTCCTTGCTTGTCTTGGTACCTGATGTGTTGAAGACGAACAAGCGGTTGTGGTTTAAAGCTTGGGGTCCTGAGCTGGACGGGCGTGTTTTTAAGTGCAAGAACAATATGAGAAACACTAATTTGGGCCGAGCTCTGTGCTTGGAAAGCTCTTCCTGCCCTCATCCAGGGATAAGGCAGCAGGCTGGGCAGAAGCCTTGCGGGTAGATTCTGCCATTTAGATGGGCCCCGTTTGCAAGGCAGCAGTTAGGACATTGACTTCCTTGGTGGTGGGGCGAGGGGAGTAGTGGTTGCAACAAAGATTTTAATGAGGTATTTTTGCTGGTATTTTTAAGGAGACTTCCCAAGACTACAGGCAGCATGAAAGGAAGCATTCCTCCATACTTATTTGAAAGCTGAACAAGCAGGTGAAAGAGGCTGATATCGTAGGTCAGTTACAGGTAGGAATCTTTTTTCTTTAAACAGAATAAAATGAAGTGGTTCACGTTTGCATCACAAAATGGAGCTGGTGGAACAGTGTGCAGAGAGGGCATGCAGTAATAAATGCTCCTTGCTGCCCTGTTGTAGAAGGGCGGATACCCTCAGAGTAAGTCTGCGTGGGTCAGACCTAGGCAAAGGACATGCTGAGGCACCTGCTGTGATAAGAACTTGGACAAGAGTTTTATCTTTGTAAGCGGAAAGTGGAAATACTACACAGGGTCTCCAAGACTAAAACGTGGGTTGGATGTGTCTAGGGAGCAGTCAGAATTCGAGATGATGTCCAGGCTAGTGCCTTGAGTGACAAGAGGGGAGATGAGGTGCTAAGAAGCTGAGTGCCAAGGAACTTGCCAATTTGACACACATGCAAGGTTACCTTTACAGAGCAGCAAGGTAGCATCTCCCTCTGCGTGTTTTTCTCATGTACACCTCTGACTCCTGCCTGTCTAGTTTCATTTACTCCCAATGTTTCTGAGCAAAGAACATGTTTTCCAGAACAGGATTGAGTGAATAATTTGTTTCCCAAGGGTGGAACTAACTAATGCAGGTTTCCTGAAGATTTGTGTCTTTCCTGTGCTAACTCACCCTATTTTCTGCCTCATTCCTTATTTTGGCCTCCTTAGTCAGTTAGCAGGTAGCCTGTTTACTTAAACGCAGAGATAAGATTTGGGGCCTCAATTGGTGATGCACTCATGATTTTACTATATGTGTCTATATATGCCTATAGAATGCTACCTGAAAATACCTTTCTGATGGCACATGGGCTTGAACAGATGAAGTAACAAACTGGTTCCTTGTAAAGCTTTTTCCCCCGTGCTTTTTTGTCCATACTTGTCTGTGTGTAAGCTAGAAAGGATGGTTGCATAATAGTCAAAGTTGTCTTAAGGTCACACAGGCAACTCTTCCATGGCTCACCAACAAAACGAGCGCGAGGCCCGTGCAAGGCTGGGAGCTGCGATCTGTGGCTAAGTTTTACAGCCCTCTTCTTCTGCCAGCTTTGCTTTGCTTTGGCAGGACATAGCAAGTTATCTAGCAACACTGAAGTGCTATTTCTCACTGATCCAAAACCTGGTGAAGTCCATTTCGCCTTGTTTCACTGCAATATTTAAAGCATAATATTGAAATAATACTGAGAGCGGCAAGGGTAGGGCCTAGGTCTGCATACCTGGCTCAATAGCAAATGCACAGAGGGCTTCACGAGAAAGGACAGTCCTGAGGACAGGAAGGGAGATTCTTTAATGCCTGTGAGAGGCTGAAGAACGTTACCTAGCGGAGGAAAACGGTTGGTCACGTAGTTAAAGCACTGAAATGAGATTTGAGGTGTGAGCAAGGAACCTGCATCCAGCCCCAGAGCTGGACACGCTGCAGCGTGGTGCTGAGCTGGGGCCTCTCGGTCTGTCTTTCCCCCAATGTCCTTGTTTGAAATCTATAAAGATGTTTTAGGGACAGTGTCTTAGTGCTCGTGTCTGTGCAGCACCCAGCACTGCCCTGCTTGAGTTTCTGCTGACATCAGAAGGCCCTTTTGTAATACAAATAATAAAAATAGGTATAAGAACACCAGCCTCCCAGACCCCAAAGCTCCTATTTCTGTATCCACACTAAGTTGGCTTACACATATTTAGCCAAGCTGGTTCTGATAGCTCTGTGCAGTACAATTCACTGCTTATTTTAAAGACCCGCCTTTAATTTAATCTAAATACTTTATAAAAAAAAAAAAAAAAAAAAAAAAAAAAAGCTTTTTCTGCTGGAACCTGAGGATTTCCCTGCTCTGAGGGTGGAGTATGTTATATTTATTAAAAGCTAATGCTGTGAAAACATGCTGAAGGGATACATCAGGTTTGGTCTCCTTCCTGTAGCTAGTGATTTGCAGGGAGACAAATTAGAAAAACAAGTTTACTACTGTTTGTTTAATGAACACCTTCCCATAGTGTATGCAGGTTTGTTTCCAGTGCTCAGGTAGCCTTGTTTTGGTTTAAACCTACACACACAGGCTGTACAGTTGTTAAAAATATTAGCCATCTCTGCAGGATTGAAGTTTAGCCCCATATCTGTGCTTTATCTGGGATTTTTGAAATAATTTTTAGAAGTTTATCACCCTTCTAACCTGCTGCAGGAGGGTGAGCAGTTAACAGCAGATGAAGCAGGAGGAATCCACATCGAGTGCTTTGAAAGCAACCATACATAGCAAGGGGATGGATTCAGTTTTGAATTAAGTAATTCATTGACATGCAGTATTAAAATCTCTGAAGATTGCCAGGCCGTGTTTGAGGTGAGCACAGCCAGGCGCTTCCGCGTGGATCCTGCCTGACTTCCAGCATGGGCTGACATTTTTGAGGATAGCTCTGTTCACGCTCACCTGGGAGATCCTGCTTCAAATGCTGTGGCTTGCACAGCTCGTGGTTATCATTCTGATCCGTGCGTTCAGGGAATCAGGATCTCGGAACGGAGAGGAATTGGCTGTGGCTTGGGCATCGAGCTCTCTGGATCTTCTGCCCATCTTCAGCTCTGTTTCAGTGCGAAAGCCAAGAAGAGATTTTAGGTGCCTGTCCTGTGTGTGGGTGGAAAAGCTGTGGGGTTTGGCTCTGCTTTTTCCCTCTGATTACTGCTCGTCCTTTAGCAAAGGACGGTCGGATCAGCTGACACTAGAATGCCATTTTATAAGTTAATTAAGCAGCAACTCAAGGATTAATAAGCATGTTGGGAGAGGAGAGAGAGGATGTCTCTGGTGATAGTGCTGAAATGCTGCTTTGGGGGCCTCGTTTTTGGAAGGGATTACTGGAGTCTTGTTCTCCAGTTCCTGCTGTAGAGATTAATAATATTGAGACAAGCTGCTGAACAAATACAGAGGAATTTATAGTGCTTAAGGAAGGAACAAGCAGACTATTTGCTCCATAGTTCTCTCTGTTGCGGCATATCTCCATGACAAACCTAAGTAGATGATCAGAGATTAACTGAAGGAAATAATAATCATTCAGGGTTATTTCTAAGGCCTTCGTAAGATAAAAGATTATGAAAATCATTTGGGAGGACAGTCAAAGTGTACAGAACGGTAACATTAAGGCCAGGAAATGTCCAGTGGTTCAGTTACTGGAGCTGAAAGCTTGAGGGTGATAAAACTTCTTCCCAAAACTTGCACCGTGGACTCGCTCATGAGCGTTTGGCTCCTGGCCTTACTGTTTTGTCTCGTTGTTTCTGAAGGCCAGGTAGGATGTCGGTGACGCGGGAGTGCAGTTCTGAGGTTCCTCAAGCCCTTTAAGGGTGGCACTTTGAAAACAACTGAGTTTTTAGCCACATAGAGGTAATATTTTGATCTATAAGACTGATGACTTAATCTTCCCTCATACTGTTCCATGTATTAACAGGGTGCATTTTTGTGAAAGCTGTGGTTTTTTTCTTCCCAGGTCTTTGTGCAGACTGAATAGAGGGCTTTTCTCTGCTAGGGTTTTGTCACGACAGTTCTGGCAGCCCAGGCAGCTTCGTCTTAGAGGAGAAGTAATTGAACGAGACTTTTGCTGCCATTAACTTCTCTTGCTTTGCATTTAGGAGCTTTGAATTATGAGAGCGCCCTATGCCTTGGTGTGTTGCAAACACCAGCCAGGCTGGTAGATGCTGCAGTGCCCGACTTGCCTGCTCCAGTTTTCAGGAAAGCATGTGGAGTTGGGGCTTTGCTTTCATCAAGAGGTAGATTTTTAGCACACTTTTTCCAAGCTGAAAAACCCCCAAATCACTGAAATTGAGGCTATATTCCTCCTAAAAATCTCATTACTGTATTACAGGCTTTGCGATGTTAATGCTTTCAGCAATCCTCAGCTGGGGAGTCCGTTTGTAATCCAGCTTGCTGTGTTAGAGGTGCACACCCCACGCTGTGCTCTGCTCACCGGGGCTGCAGCCCCCCAAGAACGGGGAGACAAGTTTTTGTCCCTCTCTACCGCTGTCCTAATGTGTCTCCTGGGATATATCCCTTAACCTCCCTGTGCTATTTAACTGGGTTAATGTATTTTTGCACTTAGAGATGAAAATCTTTAACCCAAGAGGTGAAGACAATACAGCTGTCATCTCTCCTTATTGTCTCTAGCAAAGAGTTGCTCTCTTTTGTATCTGGAGGGCAGACTAGCTGTTTTTTAGCAACCATTTGGTTCTTTTAAGTGTTTTTCAATTAGGAGGTAATGGTAATTTGTTTTAAAGTACAAAAGACCATTTGACTCTTCAGCCCTCTCTGTGCCAGTTCTGTGATGGTGGCATCTCCGAGCTCGGCCTTGGGTGCAGTGCCAGGGCTGCGTGTCTGAGCGCTGCCATCTGCTCCGTATAAATAGAACCAGGCACTTGCATCGCAGCATATGGAATTTTATACTCGGGGAGCCCCCAGCGATCAGCAAAGTGCAGATGCTCGTGGCGTTCCCGCCGCGGTTGGTGGGAGCTCCTGGATGAGGGCAGCACATGGCACTTTGTGGCAGTTCCTCCTCGTGCACATGGCATTTGCTGAGCTCCCTTGGGGTCTGCAGCGGAGGATCCTCATGGTTCCGAGCAGCAGGTGGGATCCCTGCAGCCTTGCACGGCAGGTTGAGACGGAAGGGCTTGCATTTATTTAGCCCAGGATGTCATTCAGTGTTTGCTTCCTGTGTAATAATCCCAGCATTTCTAATCAAAGATCAATTCATTTTCTTTCTTTATATACTCCTTAGGATTAAGAAGGAGGCGGAATACCAGAAGGTCCTTGTATCAGACTCATCCTAGCACAGTAATCCTAACCTTAGAATGAATTCTAAAACAGTTGAAATAGGAATAGAGTGGGAAAGGAGCCTTTTTGTGCCCTGCCTGCCCGTTCTAACAGCACTAACAAATGGTCAGTGTGTTGAGCAATTGGGAATCTCCCTTCACAAGTAGCTCTGAGTCTTTGCAATGTAGCTCCAGAGTTTTTCCACGACAACAA